AATTATAGTCTCTCCGATTTCTCTAATTGGTCCGCTTGGTTACATTGATGACCCTTTCTCTGACTCATATTTACTCATTTTTCTTTGTTAATATTCAATGTTAATGAATGCCGGCTTTTTTTTTAAAAAAATTATCTTTAATTTGTTGAAAGTAGAAAAAATTTGCATCTTGAAAATATTATTAAACATTGAAAGTATTTTGAAAAATTAATAGTAAATCTAAAAGTATGTGCGTAGGAAAGTTTTCGTATTTACAACTGATGGATCACTGGATGGTGATTAATATCATGTATGTCAGGTCCTTCTTAGTGCAGATCCGATCCTATCGACCAAGTTGCAATGTGGTCCCCAGTCTAGGTGACTCTACATTGCTTGCACTATGTTGAGATAAGATGGTGGTTGGAGATAGTCTACAGGAAACCCTGAACCTAGGTGACACGGGATCGAATTGGTCGGGGAGCATCATTCTCCGCAAGATTACAGGTACGCCTTGCTGACGAATGCCAAGTAGCTCGAAACCTAGGTCCAGGGTTTCCTGTTGACGACCACCAACCATCATCTCAAAGCTTTCATAATTTGTGTTATGTGAAATCATAAATATATTTTTGTGATATCTCAATGTGTAGAAAGTTGTATTAATAACTTTTCCTGAGTTTTTGGAAGTATATTATTCACAGTAAATAAAAGACCGAAATAAAACTTATACACCCTGAGTAAGTGACTTTCATTAAGTCACTAATCATCAGAAATGACATTTTCTGCTCATTGAGATATCACATATGTATATATTTAATAACTTTCTACCCATTGCTTAATAAAATTGAAATTTTCAAGGATAACACTGGCATTGATAAATACATGCGAAATCATGTTACCGTTGTAGTGTCACTTGCTATGTTAAGCCCATATACCTTATTCTAGCTTTTGAACAGACCAGTTTATCCATTCTCGAGTCATGTTTTGACCTTGTTAATCATTCACTTATCAACCTTGACTGTTTTTATATGAGCGTATATCTGTGTGCACGTCTTATCCTATTTATCACATGTCTGTAACTCATTTTTATCTGGCTATAAACACTAATTAACGCTTGAATAAATGGAGTTGGCTCACACGCCTTCTCCACCACGCGTCGTTTCGCTTCGATCTCTCATATTCGCTTCATCCCTCTCATTTCCTGTCCCGATCACTGAGTGTACAAAATATATGTATTCAAAAATCTATTCTCGTATTCGACTTACTTAATTCTGTTATTCACGAACGCGATTTAAGTCGTTGAAATATACGACGATAGCCGACATGTGTATTTTAATGAAAATCAGCACACAATCCAATCGGAGTCAGATTCAGTGCCACTATATCGTTAATCCAGTCTTTGTATTGTTGGATTGGTTGTGACAATCATAAAACCATCTATCTATTATCTGTCTATTTAATCTTTGGATATAATATATAGACAATCAACCTGTTTATTTATTCATTTAATAACAGTTCTGACTATTTATATTCTCATAACATTTATATAATCTAGTCGAATACATATCCAATTTTAACTTGTCAATCTAAGACGTATTTAGATATTTTCTATCTAAAATGCTGATTGTAGTTAAATCAATCATTAAATAAAAATTTATGGAACTTGGATTTTCCAAAGTTGAACACTCTATTTTACCTTCAGAAAATCTATAATGACTTTGTTTGGTAGTTAAATTTTCATTTAGATGTTGAAATTTCATAGTTTAAACCATGAATGGACTGTAGTTTTATAAACCAGTAGGTATTGAACAATTGTTTCGTCTTGGTATGATACATTGGTATTAAACATCTACAACCTAACTGACGATTAGACTAAACGGCCTGCATGTCTCGTGGTTGTGTGCCTAACTTTTAGACCACAGATATATCATCCATTGGATTATATTACTAACTTCAACCATTTCACAATGTTGAGCATTCATCTTACACCTCTATCAAATGTCTTTTGGTTTTCAAATAATGTCACATTATGGTGTAAACTGTAAAATTCAACAATCTGCACAAAAAGTTTCCACTAAATATACAATGACTTCAAGAAATCAGGCTGTTAATTATAACTATCATTACACAAAAGTTTGATTTGAGAGGTTTATCGAGATGAAATGATCTTGTTCATAGGTTGAATCACTGACTGAAATTGTTTTGGAGTACCACACAGTAACTAAGTATTACTGAAAACTTTAATCCTATTATAACGATCCCAAACAGTTTGAAGCAAAAAATGCTCTGTTAATCAAGTGAACAGATTATTAAGGCAATTACGGTAAAGGTATACTTTCAGGGTGAGTTTAAATCAGTCGTGAAGAATTTAAACTAGTTTTTATCCAATCAAATTGTAGCTTTTATTGGCGGTTTGTTTTTTGTAAAAGAAAACTATCACATCATTAGAAAATGTGAGCCAACTACACGTAATTAATAAACCTATAAATATCTGCTATTGGTTACTTTGCCTGTAAATCGAAAACAAAACACAACGAAATATAAACTCGTCCTTATGAATATAGTTGTTTATCTTTTCAAACTCTTATAAGGAATCAAAGAGACTTTTAGAAGTTATTTTATTGTTCCCAGATATGGTTAGGTATTTGGGGGTAAGGAGTGTGGTTTCAGTCATGAAATGACATCAACTATAGTATAAAAAAAGTTCAATAGTTTATACAGGTAAATTAATCTCATTCATAAAGACAAGAGGGGCTATGTGGTTAGGCAAAGATGGATAGTGGTAAGCAGTGGAATACAGGACGCACGTTTCGTCCTATTTGGGACTCGTCGGCTGGATGTACCTGCATCTCGGAGAGTTGATGTCCACTCCGGGACTCGAATCCAGTACCGTTCGCTAGCCACTATCCATCTTTGCTTAAAAAGCTTGGAACTTAAGGTACATATGCCTACATGAGATTGATCAATTGCAGTCCTAAATAACAATGGGAAGATACAAGTAAAACAACACCAAGTGAATTTAGACTATCTGATCAGTTCATCCGTAAAATGTAGTCCCACCACGTTTAGGTTTGCTTCATGGTTAAGTGTTTAAGGTTAATATTTGAGAAGTGTCAGTTTTCATGTTATATAAAATCTACAGAGGCAGAGCCAAGCAGTCGATAGGTTGAACACTTTTATTTTCACTACGTAGTGGTAAAAAATAATTTTCTGCAACTATTTAAAATGTTTTAAACAGTAAAAACTGTATTTCTACAGCTCGTTATACATGATATTTAAATCTCATGCAAAATCCTAAAAGTCACATTCTCGGTTCTGATTATCTCATCCAGAAAGTATACTTCTGCCTCAGTCCTTTATCAATGGTTTGGGTTGTTTGCGCTGTTGTAACACTGATTATTTGATTGTGATTGAGTTATTTTAAAATAAATTATCTACGTCATATTATGGCTTTCTATGATTTAATTACGGTAGAACTATTATATGGATAAGTTTTAATAGCACACAATGTGACATAATATAATATATAGTTTTTTCATAGTTGACGAAAGCATTCAGTTCTTTCGTAATTTAGTTGATGAAAAGAAACAACGCATAACTGTTAAATTGAAGTTTCACCAGTTTATAATTACACCGAAGTTAGTGCAGTTTATAAATGATGAATTTGATATTCAGGGCGAGGGTGGACAATCCAATTGTTATCTGATGGCTATATTGTGAGAGACATGTGTGAGTGGGTTGTTGAAATTGAATTTTCTACCAAGTAACAATCGCCACCCTTATTTCCCTATTTTGTTCAGTCTGACCACCTATATATATATATATATATATATATATATATATATATATATATATATATATATATTCTCATGTTGTAAACATTACCATTTAGCTTTTTGAAGCATGTTTTTTTTACACAGTCTTAGGCTTTTTCCACCACATGGGTTATAGACTGAGTTGGAAACTTGATGTATTTGAATGGGACGGAAGAAAACAGTACCATGATCGTTTTGGTTTTCTTCGCCCATACGTGAGCAATAAGTCCGGTAAGGCGTTTAATGTACACGCGAAACGATCGAATTCTTATCTGTTCTTAATCTAATAATCAGAACTCCAAAACGGCCAAACAAGTACCATGTATTATTCTATCTTATTCAAATTTTAAAACTCATTTTTATTACGCATATAAAATACAAGATGATGATCTATCATAAACGGCAAACCTCCATATTACATGACTAGGACATTTGTGTTACTCACATGAATAAAAGGTTTACTATTAACTGTTAGTAACTTATGAACGGAAACAGATATGGTAGCAGTTTATGTACTAAATAAAAGCTTACAATTAAAGCATTATTAAATAACTATAAACCAGTTGTTTAATAAATCCACGTTAAGTGTGTTGAGTGGTTTGAAATAGTCGTCAGAACACCCTAATCGACCTTGATTTCTTGCAAGTTAGTACCAGCCAACAAGGCGAACCTGAAATATTGAGGTCTCCGCTGCAGTCGGTGGGGTTCAGACTTGTTGTAATCGACTTTACAGCCTAAAATGCTACCGTTACTTTACTAGAACCGCGAATGGCATCCTGTAGAACTGAGATACTTGCGATTTCTGTGAAGTTGAGTGACATAGCTACGAGTCCCACAAGGAATATCATTTTCCTCAAGACTGAAGACATGTTTATTGACGAGTGTCAACTAACATAAAACTTTAGTGGGGCAGGGTTTTCTGCCAACTACTTATGACCACCTAACGTACTCTATACTTATTTTATAGTACTCAACATTTAGCAACTTCGAAATGTCATTGCTAGAATTCGACCAATAAAGGTGCGAAACTTTGGGTGATGTTCTCTGGGGAACCAGTATTTATACATATATATAGTGGACAATGTAAGGTCAATTAGTTTTTGACAATTCATCAGTTGATAACTATTCCAGTTTTATTATGAACCATTTTCTGGATAACCTTAATAATCACACGATCACCTGATAATCGCTTGTATATCGTATTTTCAGATTTATTCAACCAAGCAATAATGATGTCTGGTTCTGATTTATCCCAATGGGCATTCAGTGACCCAGCCAAAGTTCGTACACGTTATTATGCAATTGAACTAGCTCAACGATTAAATTGTTCTTCAGTTCAAATTAATGCTATAAATGAATCACAACAATATATACGTAATGCTAATTTGCATCGCTCATATACGAATAAAACATTAAAATTGCCATTTGGTGAATCATATGTGAAACAACCTTTAACTATACCATATTCTGTACAAGTGGATGCATATGCATTAATTTATTGTTTAAGATATGAGAAAACTGCGGAACAAATTAATGATGCTGTCCTGTAGGTGTATTTTGATTTATTCTCCTTTTTGTTAAACTGAAATCTCGACAAATATTTTGCCTTTTTTTCCAAAACACAACTTATGAAGCATATTGAGTGAGTTGAATAAGTAAAAACTGATAATATACAAGAAACGACAATAAACATATTTACTTTCGCCAGCGCCTACTGTTTGGTTGGGCTGTTAGGATATCAGAAAGTAACAGTAGAACTAAACTATGCTGACAACCTAGAAAACCTTATCAGTCAAGTTATTTGTCGTTGAGTTTTGAATTTCGAGCAGAGATCCAAAGACCTATATCTTAAATCTGACTGGGATTTTTTTTGTACAGTTTACTTTTACAGAAGGTAACACTTGATCTGTGATTACGAAATAAGTTGACATTTGGTAAAAAAACAAGACTTCTTTACATACATACATTAATATGTCAAAATGATTGGTTGGTTTTCGTTGATTAGTTTAATGGAAGACTAGACTGTCCAAAAGGTTTACGTTTAGATTACGTGTTAATATAAATCTCTAGCAGAAAAATTTTCACCTCATCAATTAAGAGTCTGAAGTGATGATTTCTAATTTAATCACTTCTTAGCATAGAGTGAACAAATCATTATTGTTTTATGCTAAGTCATCTCATCCTCTGCAAATGGATTGAGTTTACAATGAATAGTGAAGCTAGTTAGAAGTTGAAGACGGGGTTATAAAAGAACAAAATTAAACATTATGTTTCAAACTGTAAAATGTTTAATTATACAAAGTCACAAATAAAACTATTTGATAGCTTTATTAAATAGAATTACAATGAAACTAACGTGATGAAAGCCAGTGACTTAGTAAAAATAATATTACTCATAAACTAAAGTGGTTCTAGCATAGTCAGTACACTTTCATTCTGTATAAGTGAATCATAGTCAGAAAAACATTATTACAATAACATTGTAAAGCGAAGTGAACGTAACATAAGCTTATAAGTATTGGTTGTTTGTATCTTTCCACTGGTGTTTAGGATTGTAATTGATTAGTTACTTATAAAATATGTGCATCCTGTGACGATCGCCTCAATATTGTCACTAAGTTATAAGCATTATTAATCGGAGATGGGTGATGGCTAGCAGTGGAATCCAGGACGCACGTTTTGCTGTATTTGGGACTCGTCAGCCGGATGTATGACCTGTTATTTAGTGATGATTATGAAGAGTTTCTAGGTTTCAGTGCTCATCATTGATTCCATTTAATATCGTTAACGATAACCTTCATATGTAGTTACCTTCGATAATAATCATGTTTTTCGTTAAATTGCTGTATTTTAGGGTAAGTACTGTAATAGCTTTTATACCTTTTGGACAGACAAAGCAATTTAGTCTTTTTGAGTCATTTTGTAAACATATACTTGGCATAATCAATTAGTCACTTGTGACCTGAAGCGTTTTTATGTGTATGTATGTATGTGTGTATGGATATCTATCCCTTAGTTTATTCGTTATCCGTCTTTAGCTTGTTTTTATCTATCAGACTATAAATGTTAAATCACGTCTACTTAAATTATTTACTCAATGATGCTAATGTTTGTGCTTATTTTATTTCTATGTAAATGAATGCGTGCAATAAATTTTTCAAAAACATTTTGTATTTGACTTTTATTACGGCTGTTTTATAATAAGGATTAGCATAACCATGATATACGAAATTAAATAGGGAATTCGCGTATCATGCTTTATTCATCATTTTGTCATTCATGAAGTCAGTACGGTGCTATAAGATACTCTGAATTATCTATCATCATAGTTATTTAGATGTTTCCTTTCCAATTACACAAAAGTTGTAGTGCATCACTTTAATACTTGAGGAATACGATAAACATAAAACTATCACTAATTGTTTGCAAGCTGACCTCTAAATGCAGAAAGAATGTGTGTGAGTGTACGAGTATTAGTTATTTGGCAATTCGATGGAAAAATAATTTTCTGTAGATTTTGAGATGAGTGGTAAAGATGATAATAAATATATTTTCTTATTATATACTAAAATATGATGATGCCACAGTAAATTATCAGGATAAAACATTCATTCGTTGAATTGACTATTAGTACAGGGTTATCATGTGCTTATTATTGACTAGCATCAAATGGCAATACTCGCAGTTCCAGTGAGAAACCGTGACCAGTGGAGTTCAACCGTGTCCAGTGTGAGACAGTTACCCACAAAGACAATGGAAGATAGTCGCGCAATATCGTGAATTGGTTGAAGTTAGATACCGTTGGATCCCGGCTAAGTGGTCTAGAGGCTAAGCGTTTGCACGAAACCGAAGTTCCTGGGCACCATCAAGGAGTCCCATACTGGGACGAAACGGCCATTCAGTGCTTTCAAGTTTTCAATGGTGGTCTAACACTGATCGGTTTACGATCTCAATTGTACAATTAATTGTTTACACGGACTTTGCTAAGTTTATTTTGGTTCATAAGAATTTAATAAATTTATTTCAATAATAATCAACCGGCTGTTTGTGATCTTTTTGTAGTGAATTACACTCTCTCCCAGGAGCTCCGTCATTTGTCTGGACACCAGTTGTTGACGGAATATCTGGTTTCTTCCCACGTACACCAGCTAAAGAACGTTCACTAGGTAATTTTGCTAAAATACCACTACTTGCTGGTGTTGTACAAGACGAAGGTTCGCTGGCATTAGAACACTTTTTATATCGTAAGAGTTGTTTTTTTTGCAGATTTATATATATATATATATATATATATATATATATATATATATATATATATATATATATATATATATATATATATATATAAATGTAATAGTACTGTGTTGTTTCGTGTTTATGTACTAATTAGATATGATTTCAATATTGATTGGATTATTGTCAATGAGGTATGTACGCTGCACAGTTGTTTTTTTCTGATATAGAATTCTTCATTTTCAGTGAGTACCTTTGATCCCACCGTCTGGAGGTTAGATGTTCGTACACCAAACCGAAGTTCTTGGGTTTCATACCGGGTAGCGGGGTTGCTGATGCTTACTTCTGAGGAGTTTCATACTTGACCAAAGTAGCTGTTCAGTGTTTCAATGTTCTCAATGGTTTTCTAACCTCTGTTGCTTCTTGATCTCAATAGAATCTAACAATCACCACAGCCACCACACCGATCAAGTGTTTCGTCTAGTGAAAGCAACCCTGAGCTATATACTCTGGATAATATAACCTAGTAATATCTTTAGTTTAGTTTAATTTAATGAAATCTCAGAAGTTATGATATTTTGCTTATTATTCTTTTGTAAAACAAGCTTGCAATTCATTGAATTTATTATATTCTTTATTTGTTTTTAACATCATAGAATTAGATCAATATGGTTACACAATTGAAAATTTTACAGATACTATTGTAAGACGTTTTATTGGTACCCTGTTAAATGATTTAAATGTTTTTCGACATAATCAAACTGCAGAAGAATTATATACACGTTATACATGGTGGTCAAATTTAGAGAATAATACTGCGCGATGGAAACGTACTGTTGACGTAAGTTTATGTAGATTTATATATGTACATATTGTCGATATGGTAGTATTTGCAACTCAATTGTTTTTTTATTATGTGATATTACCCTTAGTACAGGTGAAATGTCCATCTCAATACCGATAGATGAGTATAACCAGGGATAATTCTAATTATAAATCTTTACTTCAAAATTATGAGACATAGACTGTAAACAAAAACGTTTTCTTGGTTACAAACTACATGTTTCTTCAACTGATTGCTTGTGTATGGTGGAAGAACTAAGTGATGAGATGTAGGATACTCAACACAAATACTAAACTGAATGGTGATAGGGTTTTAAACCACAACCTATTCATAAGAGCGATATTATGGTCTATATTGAAGTGATTTTAAAGAATGCTATTGGATGACTAGATTATGACATGAAATAAATTAGTAGGATAATTCACTGTAAGTCGGAGTCCAACCGGTACATTCAGATTATATCCCTTAAGTTTACAAGACTATTTTGATCTATAATGTACAACTTTATATGATACAGCTTATACTTAGTAATAGTAGCAGAAATATGTTGATTATTTTTGCCGTTTTCTGTCAGTCATGAAGTTTCATATTACGTCACACTTTATATATAAACGTTTTTCTACCTACCACTGATATTACTGTAATTTCGGACGCAGATTTCTGTTTAAATTACTTATTCCGATGATACATTAGAACAAACCTAGAATAACAAAATTTGCAAAAGATATAAACGGCCTAAAGAAGAAAGAGCAACAGTATGATTTGATACAAACATTTAAAATACTTTCATATTTGAAGTGGTATTATGAAGATTGATTTAACTTGTCAGTTGTATCTTTCTCTGATTGATCACATTTGGGGTGACATTGGAAACGAGTGAGTACTAGAGGATTATTTTGTTACAATGTGGAAAATCCCAGTGCATACATACCGCCCTTCCAGAAATCAAATCAAGAACCTTCAGGCATCGCTACAAACGCCTAACTATTAAAACCATTAGGTCGGGCTACAGGTTATGTCGTCACAAAACTCTCCCAACTAAAACTGCTATATTCGGTTCACTAATATATTGCTTCAAAATGTTCATGATGTTCTGGAGAGACGTTGTGAGTGATGTAGCTTACAGACGTCAACAGAGAAGCAGTTTTCTCCAGTTGAATTCGATAATCATTGTGCTATTTTGTAAATTGATTCAAGTTGGGATTGTCACTGAACTCTGATTTAGTAATTTCAATAATTGAGCATAGGCTTCAAGATTAGAAGATTCTTGATTCGATTTCTGGTAAAGTCGTAGGTAGGCACTTATGGGAAGTACCATATTAGGACAAAGCAGTTTTCTAGTGCTCTCTAGTTTCCAATGATAGTTCAGCTGAGATAAATCCTTATCGAATACAGCTTACAATTTTGATATATACGTTAAATTAGCGAAGCTGAAACGGATGGATCAACGGAATATGACAGAAATCAGAAGTCAGAGATGCTATCAGACACACCTTATTATCCAAGATTTTTCCTAACTTTCTAAGGAAATTGGTTTATGTTATTAATTTAAAATAAGAAAGACATTTAATGATGAGTTGTCTACGTATATTTGACTCAATATAAATAGATAAAAAATTTCCTGTTCACTTTTAGTTTTCTCACTCAAGTAGCTGGTTAGGCTGGCATATAAAAGGGTTTTATAGCAGTATCGGACTCAAACAATTGCACAACATCAAATGTATTCGAAATATAGCCAATGATCGTAATAAGAGGGATTAAATACAAGATGTATTTTATTAACCATAGTGATGTAATTGATAAACCAATAAGTAAACTTGATGAATACTCTTCCATTTGTTCGGTTAAAATAATAAGGAATTTAATGATTTTATTTTTTTACATAATCTTACTGATGTTTGCATTAGCTGAACAAAGTCCCATAACAACCAATTCCAATAACCTAACTAAAATCCAAACACAATACTCCAAATATTCAGTCATGTGACAGTTGACCATGAACATTGAAAACTTGATATATTGAATTTAATTAGCACATTACTAATCAGACAAACATGGTATTGGTCAGCACTAACTATTGAAAACGGAATATACCCATTAATATATTAAATAAGAAAGAATGGTTCAGTGAAGAGTACTCTTTTAGGAGAATTCATTTTCAAAACTATACAATAATAGTGATAATAAATTTCTGTTGGATATGGTGACAGTGAGGTAGAATAAACAAAGGTATTGAAATTTTTTTAAAACAGGGAATCTAATAATCCAATCATCGAAACAGAAATAAACCAGTTGAGGGGGAGGTAGAAGATTTAAGGAAGACGGAAAGGGAAGCAGATGGCTATAAAGGAAGAAGAGTATGGAAAGAAAAGAACTTATAAGACATTAAGACTATGGTAGAAAAAAGATTGTAATAATCTCTTTTGGACAGATAATTCTGGTTTACCCAGATGTATGGCTATTACTTCGGCAGTGCTAAGAAGATGCAATCTGATTGTCTTTGAAAGACTTCTACTTACTTTGTAGTTGACTTTGAACTCAGAGTCTGTCTTGATTAAGTGACCTGTGTTCACAAGGTGTTCAATTATTGAACGTCTTATTGAACCGTTTCCTCCTATTCTTAGCCACGCTGGATAATGTTGTTGAATTCTTCTGGATCATGTTTGTCGAGTCACATATTCCCAAATCAATTATATAAGAATTTACGTTCAAGTAAATTACAAACAAATGTTTCAAATGTCATTCGACTGTCGAAATAATGTATTAATAATTGTCAAGATAAACTGATCAATTTAATTCAATTACATACTGAAGCATTGCCTATATTAACAAAAATATCTATAGTCTGCTATATGGGTTTTATCAAGGACTGAACTTGAAACATCGACAAATGATGGATATTACACTGTACAGTTTAATTCACTTAGCATTTATTCCCTGGAAGCTAAATATTATCTATGTCTATAAACTCCGCCTGGAGCCACTCTGGTCCCATACCCGGATGAAGGAGGGGGTTGGCGACCCAAGCCCGTAGGAAACTAACTCGCCAAAAAACACTAACCAAATAAAACATTCAGTAGAAATGTTGAACCTCATCAACTGTGCTATATAATTTTTATTTTTCATTGTGAATTTTTATGACCTTGAACAAATTTCATCTTTTAAATCTTTGTTAGTTGGTTGAAATTTCAAGTTTCTTTTATAATTAAATGGCTGTTTTTCTCTTTGAATTATTTCACTTCATTTATTTATTGAGATACTTATATCCACATAAGTAGCATATAACGATAGTCAGGAATAGAATGTATTTAAGTTAAAGATCGAGAAGGAAGGAACGAGAACGGAAAGCAATTGGTATGAAAATGCAGGATCAATGAAATCTGAGACGATGGACATATATTTGCCAAAGAAGCAGTCCGATTTGAGACAGTAAATTAATATTTTGCAAATTAAGTATTTACTGTATGGTTCTCAGATTTTAGTAAGTTATTCTGTAATTTCCTGTTCAAGTACATTCGACTGTCTCCACTCGTGTTCTTGTTCACTACAATAGTAGTTCGGTTAATGGTAACAATGATTTAGTGTAACGTCCTGTTTTTATGAAAAAAAGAATATTAAAAATTAGTGATCGTTATGACTAAAAAGGTACAAGGTCAGAGTTACCGTCAAATGTTAAAATATCTATTTCATTTTCAAGAGTTATTCATTAATATAAACTAATCACCACGACATATTCGAACAAAAACAAAATTTGTACTTTGGAAGTTTCGATGGTTAGTTATGATTAATTGAATTCAATCATTTAAGGAGTGAGGCAAATGAAGTTTATGATATCACGCTTTATCATAAATTGATTGAATTGAAAGATTTCGACCATTCGTCTGTAGTTAATGCTTTCGTGTTTGTTGTTGAAATTTAAGATCCGACACACCGCTATAAATAAAGGTATCAGCGCTAGTCTCAGTGGCATCATGCACTAGAACGAAACCATTGTATTGAGTGCTCAGTCATATTCTGTGAATCATCTGAAACAACTAGCAAAAATCTTGGCACAAAGTGGACTTATTTTATTTCGAATAATCTAAGTCATCCATATATATATATATATATATATATATATATATATATATATATATATATATATATATATATATACATTTCACAATGTAATTTGGTGTAACATGAATAAATACTAATCCGTGAAAAACGTTAGCTGAAGAATATTATCTACTTACTAAAAAAAGTAGTATGTTTATTAACAAAAATATTTGAGAGTTTATAATCAATTATTTTATTCACATTTTAGTTGGTTTCAGATATGGAAATTATATCACCATTAGATTCTATTGTAAAATATCATTCAATCTATTCACCGTCAGTTTACTTCTATGAATTTTCCTATTCCAGTCCAAATGACAAACAAGCAACACCAGAAATCGGCAAGTTTATCAAATACATAATTGAAATTTAAGAATTATTTATAAATTGATGTGTATTATTTTGAAATAAACAAGTCAATTACCACTTATAAATCTCTTTTAAATTTAAGGACAAAATATTACGAGCCGATGAAAGCTAGACCACCATGGAAAACTTAAAGTTAAGGAACCTTCTTTGAAGACTGACATTCCTATTTTTTTGTATCGGAAGCAATTTGACTAGGAAAAGATATGTAGGTGGTTTTCTTGTCACAGTAACCTCAGTTCGGATACTTCTGAAAATTCAGGAGTACTGGACAGTTTTTTCGTCCTAGTATGGGGTTCATCTGAAGTGTTCATCCACGACTGTAACATGACCATTATATCTTACAGCCACTTTTTAATAGTCAGACCACTGAGTTAGAATTTCCCAGCATACCATTCTCAACTTCAATCCATTTACGAGACAATGTATTGAACTTGTCTTCTTTCACTGTTACATACCTTTTCTTTCTAAATACTAAGAAATGGAGTGATTTTTTCGGTCTTGTAAGCTTTGGTAATTCTGAAAGCGTTCTATATTTTATTGACGTATCTCATATGTGCTTCACTTATATCAATTACATGTTCTGCTTTGCGAGTAACAAATCACTATGTATTGACCACTTTTATGTTTGACTTGTTTTTTGGTACTGACCGATTTCTATTAATCAGGTTGTAGTGTTGCCACTAATCTGATTGACTCGATATCGGGTACTATATTTTGATGCTAGTTTGTTGGAGGTAGTACTCAGGAATTTATACTTGACTTAAGTTCGTTCAAGTTGATACTCATCAACAAGGCATACTTTCAATCTCGAGGGGACGTCTTAATATGATTTACTTGACGTTGAATCAATCAGACTAGTTGGCACATAACATTTTCCTTGATGAAATTAGATTCAGAGTAGACAAACACGGCATTGGTCACTTTTCAGTGATCAATCAGTGTAAATATCTCTCTTTTGTCTTGAGTGGTACAGTAGTAATATATAAGACTGTGGACCTCGTTGACGCCTTCTTAAATTTCACTGGAAGCATCAGTTCTCTCAAGACTGCATGCACATATTACTAATAAGTGTCAACTAGCACGAAACCTAAGCTATTCATTTTTTCTTATCGGCTAACCTCAACCGCCTTACATGATTTGTTTTTCTTTCACGTCAACTTTGAATTTTAAGCACAATTGAAATATCAGTGGTTGAGATCATGAATCAATTGAAGCTAGACCGCTATGAAAAACCTGAAAGCACTGGACGGCTGTTTCGTTCTATTGTGGGACTCCTCAGCACCTACGATCCCGCCTCGCGAGATTCGAACCCAGGACCTGTCGGTCTCGCGCGCGAGACTATAGCACTGAGCAGGCATCCAAAGGAGTTAGTGTCTAGCTTCAACCAATCCAAAAAGTTGAGATACATATCCACCATAGTATTCTGTGAGTTATTATCTCACAACAGACCCGATTGAACTCCATTGGTCACTGCTTCTCACTAGAACTACAGGAAATTAAAATATTTATATATATTACGCTTAGACATGTTTTAAAAATTATCTTCCCTACTGGTTAATTAATGCACAATGATTTTACTGCAGATCGGGTCGGTTAAACTGTAAAAACCTTTGCCTTCAGGATGTCTTTATTCGAGTCAAAAAGCTGTAATCATCTTGAAACAAACTTTTTCACAGCATAGATGTCTTATAAATTTATTTCGATAAACAGTATGCTTACAACTAATTAGCATATCTGATTGAATTCGATAGTCACATGTGAGTTTTATGCAGATAAACGCATCGGTGTGGTGGTAATTCTAGGAAGCATGGAATCAAGGCGTTCAGATCAATGAGCGACCGATAGGCACACCTGTTTATACTTGATCTACTAATCCATTCGAGAAAGGTTAAGTAATAAATAAACTGGCCAAAGATCTAAGGGGCAAAACAGTCAACTTGAACACGGTGATATCTGAAAACGATGAAATCTACGAGGATAACCAACGACAATCAAGGCCATAAGCGCAAACTTCACTGCATGAAGTAGGTGCTGACGATATTACGCAAAACGACAACGAGAGCTTTTCAATTAAATCATCTAGCTCAGTGAACGCAGCAATAGTAGAAGATAACTACATTATCTTGTAAATCAACAATAACACTTCATGGTATGTTAGGTGGTATTAGTTTCAGTATAAGGTAATTACGGTGAATCATTAGGTATATTCGATTTGGACTGTAATTTATGAAAAAAGAATCTAAAACTTGTATAATGAGTTTGAAATAACAGTGTCAAATTTTCATGCGATAGTATCATTGGTCAACATGTGACTCACAGTGTTGATTTCATATCTTTTCTCTGTCACAACAAAAACAACCTATTTATAGCTTATTCACAGAACTCATTGTGTTTTCTTCTTTTCACTCTATAACTGTTCGTTTCGATTAAATTCACTATAAATAGTTATTGTGTATTTTGATTAAGTGATTTTCTATATGATTCGAAGGTAATTTTCATTAATCAGAGCAATAAATAGTTAACTGGAGAACTTTCGAATCAAGAAAGTCAGGAAGAACTGAATAACTTCTTCGCCCTAACTTACCCCCTCCCCAAATCCTGGTACGTCAAAGAGTGGGGAGAGTCAGCTCTCTCTCTCTCGAATTGTTCTCATATGGCCACGTGCACAAAACAACTGTCAGGGAAGTCCTACTCACTGCTTTTTCGCGGCGACGGTGTTGTTTACGAAAATGAGAGTACGAAAAGAGAATGTCCTGTGCTCTAACCGGGTTGGTGGATATGGAGGATCCACCTAGGGGAGTTGGAAAACCTTGATGGGCTCTACGATCCTAAGGAAGCAAATGGCGTATGAACCTATTGTTGGTTACCAGATACCATGGGACTGTATCTCCTGACGCTGCTCCACCATTTTGTGGGTCAGACTTTTAGGTCAAAGGTTCGGGGAGTGGTCCCCCATGAAAAACATCTGCTTCGGTTTGGGCGCTTGGACAGTATTCTAGCTCAAATATAAATTGAATGATGAGTGTACTGCATATATATTTTGTTGCTCCACCTTACCAATGTTTAAGTGTTTAAATGAATAAATAAATAAATCAGTAGTGTTCATTCACGATGCTGAATGAAATTGGGATATTATAGTGTTTATGTTTCTAACGATAAGACTAGATTTTCAATCTTAATTCACAGTAGCACCCTCTTATTAAATGTCATTCACAAGTTTAATGCCTTACTTTTAACTTGGTTTACTCTGTAGTTAAGAGTTACCCATTAAAAATTCAAGGAATTCATTTCAAAGCTAGTTGACTTTCTTTGTTTTTCCAAAGTTGATATGTTAATATGTGATACTAATATCCAAATGGGTAATCAATGAACCAGAATAGCTAAAATTATGCTGGAATGTTGGAGATGTGCAGTTTCAAGTGGATGTATTTAATTGTATTCTCTGAGTTCAGTAATTAAATTCCGAAGCTTTATTTGTCATTCTGATCATCATTAGAATTTATTTCAATTAGACGTGAGAGGTTTAACTATTTCTCAAGAGCTTATTCAACGTGTTGTGATGATACTCTCGGTAGCTTGGGATCTTTGGAAGCTTTATTGGCTTCATTACCCTCGCATTAATATTGAATGCTTTGTTTGGTTGACCTCTGAATACATAGCTAATTAACCACTTACCCCATAATTTAGTATATAAGGTCTATGTTGATATGTCTATTGACTAAAGATTGAAATGAATGCCATGTATTCAGAACGTCTCTAGGATACTTTGCATTTTCTTGATTTAGAATCCGAATGTTTTCTCAAATGAATTCATATCCAATCTATGGATAATTCAGATACGAATTTATTTTAGAAAAATCAAATATTCTGACAAAACATTGTTGTTTAGTTGATATCAGTGAAAAATATTTAATAAGTTGACATATATACTACTGATGAACATGATCCATTAAAGAATATTCACAGTAGTATTTGATAAACAATAATCACATTACATTACTTATATTTTTAGGAATTTATCATGGAATTGAATTGCCTTTTCTATTCGGATTCCCTTTTATGAATAAATCAATTTGGCTAACATTATTTGGCGAGAATAATCCGTTACCCCGATGTGTATCAGACAATTATGTTTATCCATATGATACAAATATCAGTGAATATTTATTGGATTTATGGGCAAATTTTGTGAAATATGGGTAAGTTGTTGAATAAAGATTGAAATGGGATAACAGTGTAACAGCTTTGTAAGATTTCAGATACACCTTCCTAACGAACGTTAACTAACATGAAACACGGATCCGGGGGCTGTTGATGATTGCCTCTACTTACTTAACAGCCAAAAATAATTCATCATGGAATCGGGTCACTTAAAATGAAGCCCGCATTGCAACGTCGTCAGACAGAATTCTACCAGTACTAGTAAATATACAACCCAGGACAATAGTAACTATTATGGTCGGTTAGTGTAAACATTTATGACCTACAGGTCAGTCACAACTCGAATAGTTCTGTACCGACATATCTGGCTGTGGAAATGGCGACTCTGGTTCATATCCCATAGGGAATATCAACTCAGTCAATAATTGGGATATGTAAAACTGGGAAATGCAAACTAGCATAAAATGATTCCAAAGAGAAAACTAACTGTACGTACTATTTAAGTATTTATGATACTTCATTTATTACCAATTTTTATTATATCAGTAATAATAATTATCATCTTAAACTTTTAGAAATCCAACTCCACAGAATGTGAAAAATATTAAATGGCCAAATTTTAAACAACCGGAAGAAGCTTATCTTCACATTGAATTGAATAGTTCAATTAAATATCATTATAGATCTTCAGATATGGCATTTTGGCGATATCGTTTTGAAGAATTAGCCGAACCTGTACCAGGTAGTTTGTGAACATTTTTTGCGCGCATTATAAAGGAGTCCTCAGCCAAAGACTTTCTCTGACGAACAATGGTAATCAATAAAAGAGCAGGTTTAAAAAATTCACGAGTATTCAGACTAAAATATATCGTTAGTTCATCACGTCTGTGCTCATAAATTCACCAAAGACGAAAACAAGGTCCTTTGAGTCCTGAGGTTAACTCATGTCGCTACTGACAGTCCGATTTAGCCAATATATGTACGTCATATGAATGGGAAGGTTTAATTACCAAATCACGTTTCAACGTATCCAAATCATAAGTACACAAACGATTGTCCTTCTGAACGAGATAAATAAGCGTAGACCTTGGGTAGGCTTTATTGGAAAGAGTATCTCTTTCACAATTTCTCACCATTTGCGTTTTAGATGTCATATGTTCACAAGCATCTGATGTATATGCTCGCTCAACATATCAGCACGTAACTGTTACATCACAATTCCAATAACGACTCATTTGTATGATTTATTCACTTAGTAAGGGATACGAAGAAGCTAATATCAAAGAATAAAGTTGACTAAAACACGAAAATACATGTTAAACAAGCTCAATTACATAACATCTAATCACTTAAAGAGGAATTCATTGGTAATATTAGCTTAAAACAGTACATGATTTTTATGAAATGTTGGTTAATCAACTCTCGTCAGAATGATAACAGCGCATAAAGCTTAATTTCATTCGTAATGGTTTGGATTATCCAGTTGTTGATATTTTGACTGAATTTTGGTTAGTCTTAATTGGTATATCTTTCTAGTTAGCGTTTTTTTAGCGAGTTAGTTTTCTACTGGATGGGGTCGCTAACTCCATGCCCAACCCTTGGGTTGGGACCGGCAGTAACTCTGGGAGAGCTGCAGGTGGAACTCATATGATGAACTACAGTGCAAAGTCGTGGATAGAGGACAGCTGACAGATGCATTCCAAGTAAGGACCGGAGTTAGACAAGACTGTCTACTCTCTCCCTTCCTCTTTCTTCTGGTGGTCGACTGGATTATGAAGACCTCGACATCTGAAGGAAAACACGGAATACAATGGACAGCTCAGAATCAATTAGACGATTTGAACTTCGCAGATGACCTAGCCGTCCTATCACGTACACACGAACAGATGCAGATGAAGACAGCTAGTGTAGCAGCAGTCTCTGCATCAGTAGGCCTCAGCATACACAAAGGGAAAACTAAGGTCCTCAAATTCAAAGCGGAGAACAGCAATCTAATCACTCTTGATGGCGAAACTCTGGAAGATGTAGAATCCTTCACATACCTGGGAAGCATCATCGATGAACAAGGAGGATCAGATGCAGACGTAAATGCGAGGATTGGCAAAACAAGGACAGCATTCCTACACTTGAAGAATATATGGAACTCAAAACAACTTTAAACCAATATCAAAGTCAGAATCTTCAATACGAATGTCAAGGCAGTTCTACTGTACGGAACTGAAACTTCGAAAACTAATACAACCATCATCAAGAAGGTACAAGTATTTATAAATAGCTGTCTACGCAAGATACTCAACATCCATTGGCCGGATACCATCAGCAATAGCCTTCTGTGGGAGAAAACAAACCAACTTCCAGCTGAAGAAGAAATTAGGAAAAGACGATAGAAATGGATAGGACATACATTACGCAAATCGTCAAACTGCATCACGAGGCAAGCCCTAGTAACTTGGAATTCTGAAGGGAAGCGGAAAAGAGGAAGGCCAAAGAACACATTGCGTCGGATAATAGAAGCAGATATGAAAACGATGAATTACAACTGGACGGAGCTAGAAACGATTGCCCAGGACAGGATTGGATGGGGAATGCTGGTGAGCGGCCTATGCTCCTTCACGAGGAGTAACAGGCGTATGTAAGTTAATTGGAAATCCTAAGCAGATTGCCTTGATACAATGATTATGACATAAGTTAGTCTTAGAATGAATGTAATGTGGTAGTAGTGGAATTCAGGATGCGTATTTCGTCTTATTTAAGACTCACCAGTCGATTGTATGTATATCTCAGAGATGAAATTCATTCTGAGATCCAGGTACGTCCAACTGACGAATCCCAAATTGGATGAAACAGGTACAGTGGATACTATTGTTAGCCACATCCCATAAATTTAATACTCATACAAAGCCGTTAGAATAAACTGAATAGTAGATCACAACTAATATAAATAAAGAGGCGCTTATAATAGATTTACACAGCTCATTTTCAGAATAATCCTACACATTTAAAATCATATTTTAATGCCAAAGCGGATAGACAGGACTGTAAATGTAAAAACTGTTGATCATATGCAATACATATCCTAAACATCTGAGTTGGTAAAGATTCATCACTTCATTATCTCATTTGACAAGTATATCGCCCTTCCATCACATTACATCATATCCCTCCAACTTAGGACAGTTATCAATATCGCAAGTGACTACACCTACATAATCATATGAGTAATTATCAATAAGTAACAATTACGATCGTGAATTGCTTGAGGTTAGACATTAACACCGTTAAATCCTGGTTCTGCGGTCTAGAGATTAAGCATTTTGACGCATGGCCAGAGGTCTTGGTTCAGATTCCCACGTATGGGTTTGTGGATGCGCACCACTGACGAGTCTCACACTAGGATCGGATGGCCATCCAGTGCTTCCAGGTTTTCAATGGCGGTCTAAGATCATTTTGTGATTTAAACTTTAAAATTACGATATTAGTCGAAGGGGTTTTGTAGAGATTGGTTTAATTTGTAGATTATATCCGTCTCAACTTGATCACCGTTCGGTTTGTAGCGTTTGCAATCCGCAAATTATATTATTTTATTGATTGATATAATTTTTTTTCTGTCAATTTTTTAACCATTTCTCTACATCGCCCTCCCCAACTTGGCAATATTAGCATCTCCACCAATTTACTACTATCCTTTAATTAATGTACGATTGACTACACTGGTATTAGGTTGTCTTCTCAGTGTTGCGTTGATTAGTTTAATCATAATTATTGTGTTACTGATGAAACGTCCACAACCAAAACAATTTAAATCAAGTATACGTCATAGTACACCGGGTAGTGAATTTCATTCATTATTGAAAGATTCATTTTCTAATCGTAATGTTTATTCAACCAAAATGTCAACTATTCCTTGGACTCAACCGCCAACAACAACGACAACATCAATCTTACAACCGTTAACAATAAGACCAACATTAAAACCACCACCAAAACTACCGAGAATAAGTTCTTTCGCTTATCTTAAATCCAATGATCAGATTAGACAAAAACAATTGAGTTTGTCTAATTCAACAACATCATGTACAAGCTACCACATATCATTATATTCTGAAGAGAAATTTCCTAACAGATTATCAACTAAACAGAATAATACTAATAAACATCCACTACCTCCCCCAGTACCATCAAACCGTGTAAAATCCGCATCTGGTTCTTCGAATGCATCATTGTCATTGATATCATCCTCATCATCCTCACCGACGTTGGGATCGTCAATGAGAACTTCAAAATTACACAGTCAAAGACAAATAAAACACAAACATGATAAAAATAGATTATTACATGGAGATGATCATGATGTTGTAATGAATCGGAAAGAATCGAAATCATCTGATCGATTATTGTACACAGGACACACGATGAAAAATAATAGTATTGCCCTTCCGACTACAGATATACATAATAATAATTATGATTATAATCCATATGTTACAGATGTTTAATGTTAAAATTTATAAATTAAATTGTATATGGTAATTTTGATTAGGCCTGACTGGTGCATTTCTATCGTCATTTTTTATCTGTTAAGTTAAACTCGCATGTTCGGTTTAATGTCCAAAAAGAAATTGAGTGGCACTTTAAAGGGTGGTTAATGTTCTCTATTCTAATATGGTTGACTTCTGTTTATTTTTTATTGTGTATTTATCAAAATGTTGATACTGTTCTCCGCCTCTCAAAATATGGAATTGTCTTATTTCTTTCAGGAGTATGTATTAATGTTTTTGTTAAGAAAAGATAACTGAAATATTAATTTCATGTTGTGTTATAAAAAATTTACCTGCTATCTTGCAAATCAAAGTACAATGATGTATACCAGCGCTAGAGTTGTTTCTATTAACCGACTATGATCTTTGGAACCACAACCAGTTCAGTGAATCGTTATTAATTCCATCGTCCTAACGTATGTATTTATATATATAAGCCATCCTCTCTAAGAAAGGAATATAACAGCATACAACTGATTGATTGTCGAATTGTAACTAATGTTGTACCCTTTTTAGTGTCAATTCCCGATCGAAGCTGCTACCTTGGTGCGGTGGTCGGGCTTGCCTATCGTGATGACCCAACCGAGCTATATTGGCTGGAACGTATGTTACTGTAGGTTCTACCATGCCAGGCAGGTCGATTGGAGAACGGTAAGACTAAAAGCAGCAACCCAAGGTCTGAGGGCGAAGTCGTACTGCTGACTGTAGAGGGGTGTGACAGCAGTAAGGTGTTTCCCTCGGACAACCAGCATCTGCGGCGATGCTGCCTTCTCACAAGGAGGGGTGGGGTTAGAAAAGGTCCACCCTAAAATTGTCACACCTTACCTTACCTCACGGATTTCCGTCTCCGGTGGTAAGGCCGTTTAAAGAACGGAGATAATACAATAAAAAACTCCCACGATATGGCCGTGCGCGACCGGCCTCAAGTTGTCCTTTGGGCTCTGCAGTCACGCTCCCAGATCGTTAGGGCCAACACTAATCCAGTTTTCTTTTCAGGTTCCTCAAGAAATACCCTTCCACTGTGTGGGCAGCCGGGAAGTGACATCAGTCCTCATACCCGTAACAGCACACGAAACCAAGTTGGTCACATTCGAATCCACCCCACACCTCCTAATAACTCTCTTATCTCCATGACTAACCCTCCTCACGTCTCTTTATCACCTCGAACCGCTAGGGCAAACAATTCGAGTTCGTAGAACGCTATTCCTGGTCTCCCGAAACCACGCTCTAAACTACACGTAGGAGCTTTTAACGTACGAACACTTTGCCAAATAGGACAACAGGCTTCCTTAGCTAGGACTTTAGAATCTTGCGCCATCGATGTGTGCTGCGTCTCCGAAACGCGCATACAGGATCCAAGTAGCGTCGTTCATTTGACCTCACCATGCCAAAATAAAGAACCGACTCGATTTACGCTTCGTGTATCTGGAAGCCCTGATTCTGCTTCCCGTGGCCTCGCCGGCGTAGGTATAGCATTGAGTCCTAGGGCAGAACTAGCTCTCTTAGAGTGGATCCCAGTAGACAGTCGTTTGTGCGCTGTCCGACTAAACGGAACAGTAAGAATCCGGAAAGATAGGGACACTCGTCGTTACCTCTTCGTCGTCTCTGCCTATTCTCCCACTGACTGCAGTGCAGATGATGTAAAAGATGAGTTTTACAGAAAGCTTTCGGACCTTCTCCGAAAAGCTAAGCGCTCGGATGTAGTAATAGTGGCCGGTGACTTTAATGCTCAAGTAGTTAAACTAAGAGAAAGGGAAATACACCTAGGTGGATCTTATGGTGTCGTGGCTCAAAGAACAGATAATGGCGACCGTCTGTTGCAGCTATGCTCAGATAACCGCCTGTTCCTTGCAAATACTAACTTTAAGCATAAGAAAAAACATCTTTTAACATGGCGACCCCCTAATTCGTCCCAACGTTGGACCCAAAAAGATCACATCGCTATCAGCCACCGATGGAGGGGCTCGGTAGAAGACTGTCACTCATTCTGGAGCACATGCCTAGATTCAGATCATGCTCTAGTGCGAGCGCGTATTTGCTTGCGCCATGTATGTGATGTCCACCCCGAGGCAGCATGGAATGATACCCGAAAAGCTGTGGAAACACCAGTGATATCTGCAAGTACGGTAAACCGTAAGGTTAGAGAGCAACACTGGATCTCAGCAGCATCTCTCGCACTGATAGATGCTCGAAAACTCATTCCACCTGGCCCAGAACATAATGAAGAGAGGAGTCAGCTTAAGCGCAAACTGACAAGAAGTCTACGCAATGATCGTGAACAGTGGTGGGTAGCGAAAGCAAGAGAGATGGAAAAGGCAGCGGCAATAGGTAATAGCAGACAATTGTTCAGACTTGTTAAGGAGACCGGTATTAGGAAACCGACCGTTAGCGAAACAATCTCAGAGAAAGATGGACATATTATTCATTCTCAATCCAGGAGATTGGATCGATGGGCAGAACACTTCAGGGATCAGTTCAACTGGCCTTCAGCCACACTTCGGTTTCCCACGATCTCCAGTCAACCTGAATGGCAAGTTAATGTAGGTCCTCCGTCCCTTTACGAATTTGAAAAAGCCATAGGAAATCTGAAACGAGGGAGAGCACCAGGCCCTGACAGGTTTACTCCTGAGATTTTTAAGGATGGTGGTCCAGTATTAGCAATGAGATTAACCGAGGTCTTAGGTAGAATTTGCGAACTGGACGTAATCCCATCTGACTGGTCTCAATCACTGATTGTGCCAGTCTATAAGAAAGGACAAAAGTCCTCTTGTGACAATCACAGAGGAATCAGTTTGACTAATATAGTGTCTAAAATATTAGCTTCAATAGTACTTCGACGCCTAATCAAAGCTCGTGAAGAGCAGATTAGAGAAAATCAGGCTGGTTTTCGACCTGGGCGTGGTTGTATAGACCACATATTCACACTACGTCAGGTTCTAGAACACAGACACACATTCAGACGCCCCACAATGGTAGTATTTCTCGATCTTAAGGCGGCATTCGACTCTGTAGATCGTGAGGTTCTATGAAAGTGTTTGTCACTGAAAGGAGTACCAAAGAAGTACATTAAACTTATAAAGGCTCTGTACTCGAACACAACTGGTCGAGTGAGAGCCTATGGCGAACTGTCACCAGAATTGATTACCTCAAGTGGTGTTCGTCAGGGCTGTCCACTCTCCCCATTCTTGTTCAACTTTGTGGTCGACGTACTTTTGGAGATAACACTCTCCTCATCTAAATTTCCAGGGGTTGAACTTCTACCGGGAGGTTCACTTGTTGACTTAGAATATGCAGATGACATAGTTTTATTTGGCGAAGACGCTGACAAAATGCAGAGTCTTCTGACCACTCTAAGCAACAATGCAAGCATGTTCGGGATGCGATTCTCTCCCTCGAAATGCAAAATGTTGCTTCAGGATTGGGTTACATCGACACCCGAACTAATGATAGGGAGTGAAGTAGTTGAGTGTGTCGACCGCTTCACTTATCTTGGAAGTCTCATCAGCCCTTGTGGTCTGGTGTATGACGAAATCTCAGCACAGATACAGAAGGCTCGACTAGCTTTTACCAACTTGCGTCATTTATGGCGTAGGCGAGATATCCGTCTGCTAACCAAAGGACGTGTTCACTGGGCAGCAGTTCGTTCCGTCCTACTTTATAGCAGTGAAACGTGACCGGTAATAGTAGAGGATATTCGTAGGTTACTAGTATTTGATCATAGGTGTCTTCGAAACATTGCTCGTATATCATGGGACCATCGAGTAAGTAACACAGTTGTTAGGAAACGGATACTAGGTAAGGATGGCAAGTCAATTGATGACGTAGTGAAACTTCACCAGTTGAGATGGCTGGGACACGTGTTACGTATGCCCAACGACCGACTGCCTCGACGTGCGATGTTCAGTGGTATAGGAGTAGGTTGGAAGAAAGCTAGGGGCGGCCAGACCAAAACATGGCACAAGTCCATGAAGTCACTGACAAGTGGACTGAGGCATGTTGGTAGGTGTAGACTACCTGGTTGTGGACCGCGAGATGGTAGCAACCGATGGTTAGAGACCTTGAATGACATGGCTCAAAATCATTTGCAATGGCGCAGGTGCATCCACTCTTTGTGTTCTCCCAAATTTTGATCTCCTTATTCCTCCTTGTCTCTTTTTTTTCTCTTTCCAAATTTATTTCATTGTATTATACTCTTTAAATAACATCTCCAAACACTAATCTTCCCGATTACTGCTTGTACTCTTATTACCTCTACCACTACGGGATTTGAATCGACCACTGCATCTCTGTGCTAATGTGGTGTGGCAACTCGAACTGATGTACGTACGTATGAAGTTCTAGGTTGTTACTGACTGACTGACTTTAGTGTCAATTGGATCCTATAGATTACGTTACAATGTGAGAGGTATAGCGTGAACTATGTTGAGATGTTGGAGGTAGTGAACGAGAAATCGTGGGCGTATGTTTCGTACTACTCGCGACACGTCAGAAGCGTGTATATGTAGTCTGCAGGGAACTGGTTTTCTGTGACAGTTTAGATCCCACGTCACTCAGCTTCGATCGTCGTTAAGAGACTGTACATACATGACATATGTCACTGCTCATGAACCAATCAATGTAAATATATCCGTCTAACAGGTCAATCACAGCCTAAATAGCATAGTGGCAACGTCTTAAGCTGCGAAGTTAAATTACATGGGACCAACGATCTCAGGTTAAGTTAATTATTCTTATTTCACCTCAATGGATCTCATCACATTTAAGAACCTTCCTTAAACTTTCCGAATTTTGATATCAATATAAAGGATGTGGAATAAATTGGATGGGATAAGTTACATATCCATGAATGTTTAGTGCATCCGTTCATCAGTATTCAATGTGTGAAATTACTAGCATTTTTCCGTTTAATTAATGAGCGGCAAGTAGTTCATGGCATAATCATTTTAAAAATTACGTATAATATTGATGTGTCCTTGTATTGGTCACTATTGTTTCTGGAATCACGTAAAATACCTTTAGGAGAATAAAAGCTTTATTTAAAAATTCAATCTTGATAATGTACGGTTGTCACATTGTTGATCCTATTTGAAAACTAAATATGATCACGGCAAATGGAGAGCAGGTTTAATAGTCAAGGTGTTCAACTTTCAGACATTAAGTCGTTGGTTTAAATCACATTCTAGCTATTTTAGTTTAGGCAAACAATTGGTGGCATCACTAGAGTGTGATTCGAAGTTAAGTACGACGTATTTATAACCGGAAAAATATAAATTAACCACCATATTGTTGACCAAAGTAGTGATAACATAAGAATAGCAATTGGGAAAACTATGTTGCATTAGAGACTTTTCTTTATGCACATGCACACCGAACACACATTTATTCTTTTTGTACAAAAGGCTCAAAGTGAAAATAGAACCCTGACAAGAAAAACTCAACAATACTGAAATTAGGAGTACTATGACCGTTTATACAATCGGGTAGTAATAGAGGTATTAATAATAACAAAAAAGAAACAACTGTTTGCCGATTGATAAACAGACA